GACCAGCCCGGCTTTACCTCAGTTTTGTGCGGACGTGTTTCATCGCGTTTTTACGTGTGAAATATATTTTTTGGAATATTCTCTTAAAGACAAGACAAAAAAATGGCATGTTGGATACGTGGATGCACCAACAAAGGAGAAAAAATAAAAGATGCTTCAAAAAAGAAAATCTTTTTTACAGCTCGCACAGAAAAAATGTTAAATAATTGGCGTGACAGTACAAAGAGAAAAAAAAACCAAAAATGACATAAATTATAAACTTGTAACTTTATTTCTTTTTTTCCATTTGTACAATTGTCTTCTTTTATTTGTATAATTGTATAATTTATATAATTGTATAATTTATAATTAAGCAAATATATAATTATTATGGCCGGTAAAACAGGACGGTCCGGCATCCTCTTAACCGACGGTTAAAATTAGCAGGGTGGCTAACAGAAAATAGAGGTGAAGGAAAACCAAGCATTCATATAATTTTAGTTGGAACCCTGCTAATTTTAACCGTCGATTAATCTAACCGGACTTGGTGAAATTGGCCCTAAGGGATATAACCCATACAGCACAGAACATTGCAATTACATTGCAGCAATGTTACAATCTTGCAAGTTGCAATGTAATATTGTTGAGACATTATTGGAACATTTAATTGTAATATTTCATGAGAATGTTACAGCAACATTTCAAAAACATTACAAAAAACAGTTTTTGATAATCTTTCGTTCGTTTACCGCTATGCGGCGCGCGTTGCGTTATCTATCCCGCATTTAAGTTTTAATTACGATGGTTATATGAAGCTTGCAAAGAGCGGCTAGTAAGATTAAAGGTATAATAATATTTTTATCAGATTAATTTGTCTGATACGATCCCAACACAGGAAATTCAGATATTGAATTGAGTGTTCAGAAATCGGACAAATAAGTGTCCGAAAAAGTTAAAATTATCCGTTTATTTTAAGATGTAAAATGAAGTCTAATATTTATATAAATAAAATTTTAATTTTTATGAATTAAATTATTTAATCATTATCAATTTCTTAACCCTCACGACACATCAACATCCCAATAAGGTTCCAGTCATCTTAAATTGTAAGGTAGTAGCATTCCACGGAGATTAATAAACCTGCCATTAACCTCCCAGCAACATGAAAATGTTCGCTCAAATTCATCCCATTAACATCCCAAAGACCTTGCGCGTAACGTTGTATTAATATTCATACAACATGCCAGAAACTTTCTAATATTATTTTCAATAAGGAATTCTTGCAAAAAAATATTATATTGGCAAAAATCGATTAAATACTATTGGTTTTCAATAGCTTTCGTAATTGTCGTTTTTTCACCAATAATAATTTAATAGTTCAAACTTTCTTTTTCTTTAATATGGAATCTCGCAAAAAATTCATAAAATTAAATAAAACGAGCTATTTATTAGTGTATTTTTGGGAATATTGAATATATATATGTATATATATTTTTTTTCAATATGGATGATTTAAACTTTTTCAGACATTTATCTGCCCGATCTAAGAAACAATCAGTCCAATATCTGAATTTCCTATGTTAGGATTGTATCAGTAATTGAACTGATAGAAATAATTATATTTTTAATCTTTTGCCAGTTGCTCTTTGCAAGCTTTATATACTTCTCATGACTAAAAATCAAATACGAGATGGATGCATAGCGCGTCGCATAGCGATGAACAAACGAACTAACGGCTGAATACTATTTTTTTGTAAAGTTTTTGGAATGTTTCGCGCAATCATTTCTCATGAAATATTAAATAAATAATAATTTTGGATATATGAAAACGTGCACATCAAATATTTGATTATTAATATTAAACAATATTTTATAGTTTTGTAATATTTTCAGCATATGCGAAAAGTAAAATTATTGCGAGTAAAGTTGCTAAAATATTGAAATAAGATTCCATTAATCTTCCAACAATATTATAAAGTAAGGTTTTATTGTAAGGTTAGTGGTATGTACCAGTAACATGTTCCTTAAAATGTGTAAGTTTGTAATCTCCCTATAATCTTACTGCAATGTTCGGTGCTGTGAGGGAAACTTGTAAATTATTTTAATAGCGATGTTAATTAGATAACAGGAAATCGTTTAATAGTTTCCATTTCTATATAAAAACAAAAATTTGATAATAATTTTTTAATATGCAAAATGCTTTAAATATAATAGATAAACTTTGACAATATATAAAGATATCCAAGAGAGACAAGAAAAAACTCGTTGTAATTGCGTAAATCCACAATCTTTTTTTCTTATCTCTCTTGGATGTCTTTATATATTCTCAAAGTTTATCTATTAAATTTGAAGCGTTTTGCATATTTGTAGCAAATGTATTTAAATATTACAAATACATTGCACCGTAACATTACTGTAGTCTTACATTGTAATATTTCTAAGGGCGGACATTTCAACGTTGCTGCAGGCTTGCAGTAACATTGCAGAAACATTTCGCAACTTTCATGCAATATTACAATGTTTTAATGTAAGGTCTATGCAACGTTTCGGCAATCTTTCGATGCTGTATGGGAATTTTCATAATTTTTTTTTCTGCATGTTTATAACATACTGCTCCTTTAGACCATTTCCTACTTTTAACAATAGTTTTTCAAACTGTATCCTTTTGTCATTTGTGAATCTCTTTTTGTGTCTTATCCCAGTAAGCAAAATGCGCGCAATATGCCAGCAGATTGGCAACAGATTTCCTCAGCTCTTGCTAGCAATTTGGCATCTGTTATGTCCGCATTAGGCTAATGATCTGCCAGCAGAGCCTGCTCACAGAATCTGAGAGCAGATTGGCAGCAGAAACCGAGCAGGATCTGCTAACATGATTTGACATCAGATTGATGGCAGAAACCGAGCAGGATCTGCGCGCGCGCAAACTGACGGCAGATTGAAAGCAGAAACCGAGCAGACTCTGCAACTTTTGGCCATTCATATAAAATGATGCATTTAAATGAATTTAAAGGATCTCAAACCCAAATGGCAAAATGATGGTGAAATTTGGTCACAAAATGATCAATTAGATGTCCTAAACTGGGTCTCATAAAATCCGAAAATGGCGTCAATAGTTGATATATTCACAAGACGTCATTTTCTGACATTTGTATTAATAACATATAAATATATAATCACACACACCTTGTACATACTCGCATACCGATATTATACATACTCGCACACATACATTGCGTAACCGCACACACACATTGTACATACTCGCATCTATACTTTATACGTACTCGCACACGTACATTGTCCGTTCTCACACTCGCCACTCGTCTCGCGCGCCCATACACACACACCTCGTACACCTATACATACACTCACGCTGTATTCCGCTAGAAACTACTGAAAACGGAACGAAATTGCGGAACGTTCGTGATTGGTTCCGCTTTTGTTCCGCGTTATGCTATTCCGCTGCATGGGTTTGCACCCAAAGGCAAAATTTTTCACTTTTCCGCCCTAGGGGAAAAGTTACATGATCGATATCCTGATCTGCAAGAGCCATTAAGCTCGTATCAGACTACGCATTAAAAATTGAAGATCGAAGATTAAAGATTAGAATTTGACTAATCAGAAGACAAGGAACTAAAATTTCTTTGTTCTGATTGGTCAAATTTCAATCTTTAATCTTCAATCTCGATCTTCAATCTGTAGTCTGATACGGGCTTTAGGCCGATATTACATTTGTCGTACGACAAACTTTTTAAGCATATTGATTGGCTGCAAAATATAAACTTTCTTGAGTCTCTAGAAAGTTTCTATTTTGCAGCCAATCAATATGCTTAAGGGTCGGCAGGAGAGACAGTAGAGACCTCTCGCGGGAAGCCGTGAACTACGGATACGTTTTTTTCGTATTACGGCTAAAATACAAAGAAAATTAAATTCTAACAGCAATATTCGTAATCAGTAGGATCGTAAGATTGGCTCTACAGAGCGATTTTTTGGAAAAAAGGGTTAAAATAATATTTCACAAATTGATAAATAAGGTACAGCTCTGGTACAGCTCATGGCGGATTAGGTGCAGTTGGCCATGAGCTGTATTTTATTAATTATAAATTTTTTGAGAGCCAAAATGCAAAATCCGGCTCTGTAGCGCCAATCTAAGCTTTGCAAAGAATGTAGCAAAAAAAGTTAGAGGAAGAAATATGATTTCTTCAAGGCTACATACGAAAAAACGGATATCACTAGAGCGATATGCAAGGAGCAGCTAATGGGGACATTTTTCTTGTAGTACTCTGATCGTTTGATATATTATCAGTATTTATGTAGCAGATATTTTTACGCGATAATATCGATATAATCGAAAAGAAATCAAGATAGCATACTTGTCGGTATATAAATTTGTAATTACTGAAAGATAATATAAGCCAAGAATTAACAATTGTTCTCTCCTTGTCGCTCTATCATGCTGACAATACATAACCCAGTCAGCCACATCTGTTCTAACAGATCTCTTACACGTTGTATATTAGTTCACTCTATTAGCTATTATTCTACTAATATTATTTATCATTGTGCAATTTTGAAACATATGTAACATTTCTATATACTATTGGTATATATCTGTACGTATACGCATAAGTAAACATAAAATTTATAAAAAGTGGGCGCCCATTAGTCTTGTTGCATTACTGCTTTCTGCTACGAGAGGCCAGAAAGCATTTTCAGGGCATATCTCGGCCGTAAAGCAATACGCTAGAGGAACAAGGATAGCGTGATCGTTGATCGTTTTCTATCTTTCCTCTCCACGGTGCGTCCACGCGAGCAATGCAATCGTGTGTGTACGTATACAGACATACACCTATACATCGAGACTGAGAATTCATTCCTCAGCGTTGGTAACCCTGAAACCTGAGTTTCACATTTTCACCGCGCGAGGTCTCCAATATCAATTCGGAGTTTGGCCGTCACTCCTGCCGACCCTTAAAAAGTTTGTCGTACGACAAATGTAATATCGGCCTTATGCTCGACGCTCGACGCTTGACGCTGCCATGTAAAGGCACCTTTAACTGCTAAAGTTTTTCTATATGCTCGGGCCCTAATAACAAATATCAAAAGAAAAGAGTATTTGTCGCTTTATAGATAATTAAAGATCTATCAAACAATTTCGAGCAACATGTGTACGTCAGCAAAAATAAGGAAATTAGATGAAATCGTGGTAAATAAAATCGCAGCCGGAGAGATCATCCAAAGGCCAGCAAACGCTTTAAAAGAATTAATAGAGAATAGGTTAGTACAAGTTGTAATTCACCTATTTTTTGCTACTATATGTACCAAATATTTGCTTTTGTCACAGTTTAGATGCCAAAGCAACAAATATACAAATTACTACGAAGGAAGGAGGTTTAAAACTATTACAGGTATTTAACAGAATATATAATTTGTGTCAGAATATCTATAAAATAATCTCAATTTACTTTTAGATACAAGATAATGGTACAGGTATTCGAAAGGAAGACATGGATATTGTATGCGAAAGATTCACAACAAGCAAATTACAAAAATTCGAAGATCTCAGTACACTTACAACATTTGGATTTCGAGGAGAAGCTCTGGCTAGTATCAGTCATATAGCTCTTCTTACTATCACGACAAAAACAGCAGATGAAAAATGTGCCTACAAGTATGCAAATTTTATTTTGGTTAAAATTGTATAGAAAAATTGTACAGAAAAAGTAATTTTCTCTTGATATAGACATATTAAAGTGTAAATTATATTTTCTGCACACTATTACAGAGCATCATATATTAATAGCAAGTTAAAAGCACCTCCAGCACCTTGTGCTGGAAATCAAGGCACTATAATAACAATAGAGAATCTGTTTTATAATGTGGCAACTCGAAGAAAAGCTTTGTCAAATCCATCAGAAGAATTTAATAAGATTACAGAAATAGTCATGAAATATGCTGTGCATAATCCAACAGTAGGATTTACATTAAAAAAACATAGCGACTCAAGTGCACAGGTGAGATTATTAAAAAAAATTATTTATATGTATATCTGAAAATATATATATATATATCCAAAAAAGATATTTTACTAGAATATTCTGAACTATTGGAATATAATTGTTCTATTATATTCTCAGGTTCGAACACCACATAATTCAACAAAACAGAGTAACATAAGAATATTGTACGGCAATCCAGTTGCTCGTGAACTATTAGAGGTTGAGCTGCACGATGATGCTTATAAGTTTAATATGCAAAGTTTAGTGACAAATCCTAATTACACAAATAAACGAATGATGATGCTCCTATTTATCAACAATCGATTGGTTGATTCTTCTTGTAAGTCTAATCTTGCATGTATCAATATTTTTTCTAATATTTATGTAAAATTTGTACGTTCAATACTCCAGCCATTCGTAAGATGTTAGAGGAAATATATTCCATGTATCTGCCGAAAAAAGCCTATCCATGGTGTTATATATCTTTGGATATCAATCCGCAAAATATTGATGTTAATGTACATCCAACAAAACACGAAGTTAGGTTTCTTCACGAAGATGCAATAATCGAAAGAATGAAATTTGCTTTAGATGAAAGATTGACTGGTAACAGTGCATCTAGAACATTTTATCTGCAAGCTAGATTACCAAAAGCAGACATTACCAAAGCAGTCCTAGAAGAAGTTTTGCCGGAATATAACAAAGAAAATCCAGATAAATCGAAAAAAGTCCATGCTAGAGAAATGATTAGAACAGATTCGTCCAATCAAAAATTGGATAAATTTAATTTCATCGTACATACTCCTGTCAAATATGATAGCAATACTCTCATAGAAAAATCGATTCATAATGCAGAACCTGAATCTCTCAATATTGAAATTCTTTTAGAGAAGAATATATCTCATATTACTATGGAAAATCCATCTGTTGACAATAAATGTCAAGAGAAAGATTCGAATTTAAATATTACAGAACACAATTCTATATCATTATGTAGAAAAGAGATTCATATTGAAGAGACTCCAGTTAATAGTTCAACACATTGGAGTGATATCTCGGATATTAGAACTACCTCATCAGAGTCGCAAAACACTTGTAATCCAAGTACATCTATGCAAAGAGACAAGTCGGACAATATTCGTTCAGAGAATACTATGTACAATATTACAGAATTTTTAAATGATTTAGACGAAACAATGGATGAATCTATGGAAGATAATTCTAGAGACATTATAGCTGATGAAGCTCGTAAACGAGTGTATCAATACTTCGGTAATAAAGATATTATCGACGATAGAAAAAAAAATTTAGAAAATGATGAAGAACAAACTACATTACAAAATACAGATGATAATAAGAAAGAAGATCAAAATTCAATATCTAATACAAATCAGTCTGAAAATGTACTTCCAATTGAGGAGACTCCTGTTGAATCTTCAAAATATGCATTGCAGTTTAAGTCGTATTCTATAAATAATTTTAGACATGAGGTAAAATTGACTAGTATTTTAAAATTACGCAAGGAAGTTGAAGACGAATGTCACGAAGGATTAAAAAATATTCTCGCCAATTTGACATTTGTCGGCTGCATTGATCAAACTTCGGCTTTGATACAAAGTGGATTAAATTTGTATATATGCAATACAAGAAAATTAGCGTAAGATAATTATTTCACATCAATATACGAGTGATATTTAAGAAATTATACATAAGTTTATTTAAAATTAACTTTGAGATATTTACATATGTTTGTTTTAGGGAGGAGCTTTTTTACCAAATCATGCTTTATGATTTTGCAAATTTTGGTGTCATCAAATTTTCAGTATGTATTTCAGATGAAGTAAAGTAAAAATTTGTTTTATAGCTAATATCAAGTTTAAATTTTAGGAACGGATATCACTATTTGATTTAGCAATGATTGCTTTAGATTCGGGAGAAACTGGGTGGATAGAAGAGGATGGCCCAAAAGATGAATTGGCAGCAAGGGTAAAGGAATTACTTTTAGAAAAAGCAGACATGATGAACGAATATTTTTCAATTGTTATGGATAAGGTGGGAAATTTAAGATCGTTGCCTGTGTTATTAGGTATGTATAAATCAGTATTAGGTAATTAATTACAATTATTTGCCTTTTTTCCAATTTATTTTTGATTAGTATCAGATAACATTATATTCTCAAATAATCCCAGAAAAATAAATTGTATATGCTATTTATAATATTTCAGATAAATATTTTCCATACGAAGCAGAAATTCCATTGTATATAATGCGATTAGCAACTGAAGTTGATTGGAGAAAGGAACAAATGTGTTTTCAGAATATCTGTCGTGAAACAGCAAAATTTTACAGCTACATCAATCCAAAACCTAAGACACACAATTGGAAATATATAACCGAACATGTTTTATATTCAGCGATTAAAGAGAATTTACTTCCACCGAAACATTTCACTCACGATTCAACAATATTACAAATAGCCAGTTTACCTGATTTGTATAAAGTATTCGAGAGATGTTAAAAGTATACTATTATGAATTATACAAAGATATGTCTACAATTTGTCATTAATGGGCCATAATGTAAGAACTGAATTGAGATAAAATGAAATCTGATGTAAATTATGTTTCAAATCTATATCATGATTGTACATTTATAACTTATATTTTTGCAATATCAGTATTTTGTATCAAGTTTTGTTATAGATGACTGAATATATACATCATTATTTTTGTCATATAAAATTTGCATAATATTTATCATTATCCTCTAGCAACTAATTGTATGTGTGCATATGATAAAAAGAATAATATAGCTTAAAAAAGAATTTTTTTTTAGATGTAGATATATTACAACATAGCAAGAGTTCTTATGTAAAGATAACATATTATATTTCCGGTAAATATTCAGATTAACTTACACCTCACGGATCATTTTTATTTTTACATATATTATAGAGGGCACATTCCTAAGTAACACACACTTTGAATTTTGTGGCGCTCTCTTCTGGTTTCAGAGATATGCGATTTTGAAGTATCATAATTTTCGCATTTATTTCTATGATCTTTTCACTATATCTTACTTGCGTGTTTATGTTTTTTTTGTTTACATTTGCGTCACTGTCAGTATATTTTCGCTAAGAATTTCTTTTGTTTACATTTAGAGTTGTTTTTATGTTACTGCTAGTACGCTTCAGAATCGTATACTTGTTCAGTTCCGCTAGAAATTTCAAAAGAAATACAGCAATGAAGCTTTACGAATTTCTATCCATTACTGCAGATAAAAATATTGCTTCTCCACGTAAAGCGAGGTTCAATGCAAACCTATATGTTTAGTTTTTTGATAGTGAAGCCCCCCCGCAGGGAGGCGGAACTCACTGTTTCTACGCATACACTTTTCCACGCGAAGCGAGATTCCACATGGGTTTGCAACTTTCCACGCAAAGCGAGGTTCCAAGCAAACCTATTTGTCTAGTTTTTTGGTAGTGGAGCCCCCCGCAGGGGGGCGGAACCTACTGTTTCCACACATACACTTTTCCACGCGAAGCGAGGTTCCACATGGGTTTGCAACTTTCCACGCAAAGCGAGGTTCCAAGCAAACCTATTTGTCTAGTTTTTTGGTAGTGGAGCCCCCCGCAGGGGGGCGGAACCTACTGTTTCCACACATACACTTTTCCACGCGAAGCGAGGTTCCACATGGGTTTGCAACTTTCCACGCAAAGCGAGGTTCCAAGCAAACCTATTTGTCTAGTTTTTTGGTAGTGGAGCCCCCCGCAGGGGGGCGGAACCTACTGTTTCCACACATACACTTTTCCACGCGAAGCGAGGTTCCACATGGGTTTGCAACTTTCCACGCAAAGCGAGGTTCCAAGCAAACCTATTTGTCTAGTTTTTTGGTAGTGGAGCCCCCCGCAGGGGGGCGGAACCTACTGTTTCCACACATACACTTTTCCACGCGAAGCGAGGTTCCACATGGGTTTGCAACTTTCTAAAAAATTATGTTTCAAATCTATATCATGATTGTACATTTATAACTTATATTTTTGCAATATCAGTATTTTGTATCAAGTTTTATAGATGACTACTGAATATATACATCATTATTTTTGTCATATAAAATTTGCATAATATTTATCATTATCCTCTAGCAACTAATTGTATGTGTGCATATTATGTCAAGGTCAAGGTCATTGGGGCTGGGTCCCCTATTCGCTATATTTACCAAATTTTTTAAATTATATGCTATTTATAAATCATTTTTCAAAAGAAATTTTGGTAAATGTTCAGATTAACTTACACCTCACGGATCGTTCTCATTTTTACATATATTATAGAGGGCACATTCCTAAGTAACACGCACTTTGAATTTTGTGGCGCTCTCTTCTGGTTTCAGAGATATGCGATTTTGAAGTATCATAATTTTCGCATTTATTTCTATGATCTTTTCACTATATCTTACTTGCGTGTTTATGTTTTTTTGTTTACATTTGCGTCACTGTCAGTATATTTTCGCTAAGAATTTCTTTTGTTTACATTTAGAGTTGTTTTTATGTTACTGCTAGTACGCTTCAGAATCGTACACTTGTTCAGTTCCGCTAGAAATTTCAAAAGAAATACAGCAATGAAGCTTTACGAATTTCTATCCATTACTGCAGATAAAAATATTGCTTCTCCATGTAAAGCGAGGTTCAATGCAAACCTATGTGTCTAGTTCTTTGATAGTGGAGCCCCCCCGCAGGGTGGCGGAACATACTGTCTCCACGCATATACTTTTTAATGCAAAATAAGGTTTCACAGGAGTTTACAACTTTCCACTTTATATTTACACATTAAAAAGTATATGCGTGGAGACAGTATGTTCCGCCCCCCCCCCCTGCGGAGGGGCTCCACTATTAACAAGACACATAGGTTTGCGTTGAACTTCGCTTCGCGTGGAAAATGGAAAAATTCAAGGACCTTCGTTCCCAAAATGTAAACAAACACTTTTTCCACATCTGATTTACACAAATACAACAAAAACAAATTTTATTTTTTTTTATTTTATAACAGAAAAAGCATTAAAACTGTGAAACTTTAAAATTGCATATCTCTGGAACCAGAAGAGAGCACCACAAAATTCAAAGTGCTTATTACTTAGGAATGTGCTCTCTATAATATATGTGAAAATGAAAACGATTTGTGAGGTGTAAGTTAATCTGAACATTTACCATATTTCCTTTGCTAATCCTTGTATAGTTTCATGTAAAGATATATTTCCTTTGCTAACCCTTGTACAGTTTATAGGATATTAACAGACATTGATTTCTATTTTATATCTCAAATAAACGTAAAAACAAAAGAGAATTATACAATTTACATCATTTTATATTGGGCTTTATTTTAACAATTTGTAACGTATAGAAAATGGATTTTATCTACCTTTAGTTAAATAGTTATCCTTTAGCGACACCTACTAATGCTGGTCTTACTATCCTTTCGTACAATTTGTATCCTATTTTTGATACAACTACAATTGTTCCAGGCTCTTTGCCCTCAACCTCCTGAAAATTTTTTCCATTATTTTAAAATTATTATATAATTATTTTATCTATCAACATTCTACAAATCTTACTTGTTGAAATAATGCTTCATGTTCATTAGGATTAAATTTTTCATTTATTGGATTTAATGAAATTAGGCCATGTTTCTTGAAAACCTAAAATAGAATAAAAGAATAATATTATTAACAAGACAACATTATGTAGATATTATACATATTCCTTGTATTAAAAAGAATATGTTGGTAAAGCATATCTTACTTTATGTAATTGGGCTTCTGTCATAATTAATCCTTCATATAAGCTTTTTAAATGTGGATTCTTTTCTGTTATTTCAGCCTTTGGTACACTCTCGGTAGCTTTTCCCAATATATCTGCTACATCTAAAAGATCTTTACAAAAACTTTGGATACCGAAAAGCTTGGCATCATTAATCTGTTTGGTAAGTCTAACTCGGATATTTTCTCCTTCAGCCAATGCCCTCTTATATTTATCTTCAAGTGCATCTTTAGATTCTTTAAGTTCAGCGAGCTCTTTGTTGATGAGTTCAAGTTCTGTTTTAATTTTTTCTGTAGCTTCTTGCTCTGGAGGTATATTAGCAGCATCTGATTTTTTCTCCTCTGTTATTGTACCATAATATTGTCTTTGCCAAGAAAATGTGGAAGATATTTGTGGCAACCTATAATTTTATGTTTGATCCATATAACAAAATAAAATTTAACAATTTTGTAACACTATTTAATACAACTATGCAATAAAAAATTACTGCAGATATATATTTAATCAATTTTTTAAAACAGATTTTTAATACAGATATTCATTTACATAAAATATTTAAAATTTTTTATTCTATTGCATTCAAGATCAACCATACATGTTTCAAAATGTAATGTAACTGTAAAAAAAAAAACGGTAAAAAAAAATTGTCTTTATATTTAAATTACCCAAAAATATTTAGATATTATAAAAGAAATATTGAATATTATATTTATCATTTTATTGAATTATTAAATAATAAAAAGCTTTAAAATTTAAAGTCTTTAGCTTCTGTTGATACTAGATGTGATTACAGCAATTTAAGAGAAGCGTATTAAAAATTGCTGGACATTTCAAGAAAGTTAAATAAATTAAGTATTGTTCAGTATTAATTGATGAGAATTGTTATATGTATTAATAAATATAATAGAGAATAAATAATATGTAGCAATCTAATAGTTAACCTCAATATGTGCGATACCGCAACGAGCATTCAGTCACAATTCGCGCCAACAAAAAATAACAATGTTATACCTGTGTAAACCTCTTTTATTTATTTGATATAAATTATCAATTGTCAGGCGACTAAATTGCACTGCAGCCGGTATAACGATTGATGTCATGATTAACTCGCACGACTCGACACAATCTCGAGGAATGGATGATGAAATACGACGATCGACAACGATCATCGATCATATGGTCCAAGAATAATATATGGCGTTTTCGAATGTAGCAGGCATAGACATAGGCATAGACATAGTATATCTAGATCGAGTGTTGAGGAGTGGGAGCCGAGGTGCACGTAAAAAAGGACATACTCTGTTTCGTGCCCCTTGCGTTCTCTCTCGCTCGCACGTAGCATGACGAAAGAGAGCGCTATGCTCTGTGCGAGCGAGAAAGAACGCAAGGGGCACGAAACAGAGTATGTCCTTTTCTACGTGGGCGTCGGCCTCCACTCCTCAACACTCGGTCTAGATATACTATGGCCGGTATTCATAGTCCGTTCTTATATTCAAGATCGTCTTAAGTACGATCTTAAGATACTATGCGGCCATTTCATTGGTTGAATGGGATCTTAAGACGACCCAAGACCACACTTAAGACGATCTTGGATATAAGAACGGACTATGAATACCGGCC